TTTTTTCCCCTACAGTTGGAAGAAAACTTTTGAATGTAGCATGACTTAAGCGGATTTGTGGAGTACATGCATCTTGAAAAGGTGCTGCTAGGTTGATTGGTGCACACTTTCTTCTATTCTCCACACTTAGGTCAAGTGTTTACTCTCTCAGATTTAGGAGGCTGAAACTAAGCTTTTCCTGTCTGTAAGTTTCTTCATGCAGTAACACATCTCCTCATATTGTTTTAAGAGTTACAAATCTTTTAAATCTAAGTAATATATATTCTAACAGAAAATGCAGTTGAAGAAGTCATTTCGGCTAGTTTATGAATTCTGCTGGCAAGGCTTATATATGGGCATAGACCTAGAAAATAAGTCCATAGCAGAGATAGATAAGGTCATTGATGAAAAGTGGATGCGGCTGGAACCGGAAGAGAAAGTGCTCCTTTTAGAAAACTTTATGTGTGATAAGCATTTGAAAAAGGCTAAGGAAGACATCCTTAAAACTTCCAAGTGGCAACTACATGCATAATAGGTGATGAACTTGAGGGTTCATTTAATTTGGGAAGTATTTAATTAATGCAAATTAAAGGATGTTGGTTTTTCATGTTTGATTTCTTATTAGCCCTGGAATGATGAAGCAATGCAAATTCATGAATGTTTTTGTCTAATGAAGTTTTAAGTTCTGGATCTTTGTTTATTTGTTCATATATTTCTATTTCTTCACTGGGAATTTGTAAACAGAACTTGAATGTGGTCGATGCTCTTTTTCAAGATTGACGTTTCAGACTGTGTTTATTGATTTTCTTGTACATATAAATATGATGAGCTTAGTGTATGTTCCATCTAACAGTTAAATGCTTGAGTATTCTTAGACCGGGTTCTCTTGAAGGGTAATAACTTTATTTATCCTCTTTTGTAGGTGGAGTAGATCAAGAAATGGATGATGAAGACGATGAAGAACTAGACCTTACTTGAGATAAATTTTGAATTGTTATCGATGAATGTTCTAGGAATCTTTTGTTACCAACATTTTTTGAAACTTATTTACACTCTTGAAATGTACTAAACTTATGCACTCATGAGGTATAACATTTGCTTTATGGATATTATTTGCTTGATGAATAATTTTGTATTATTAATAGTTTCATTCTATGATGTATTTAAATTTTAGTGTTATTATAATTTATTATATGTATAATATTTATTTATAATAGGTGCTATATTTTGGTTTTAACTGAACTGATACAATAGCCTACCAGAACCGTTGCAATAGGACACAAATGGCGTTCCAGTAGGCAACATAAACCGTTGCCATAGGTCCCATAAACTGTTCCAAAATGATCTACAAACCGTTCCAAATACAAATGTAACCGTTACAATAGCTTAAAGAAACCGTTGCAATATCCAACATAACCGTAGCAATAGCTTACATAAGTGTTTCTTTAAATAATATGGCAACGGTTAAAAACCGTTGTATAAACAATATAATAACGGTTTAAAACCGTAACAATTGAAAAAAATAACCGTTTCAACAGAGAAAGGAAAAACCGTTGCGATAGACGTATCTATTGTCACGGCGATGAAACCCGTTGCAAGAACCGTTCCAATAGACCTATGGGTACTGCGGCTGATGTGACGGTCTGTAAACCGTTCCAAAATCCCTACGGCAACGGTTTGGCAGTCTGTGGGGACGGTTTTACAACCGTTACCATAGACCAATTTTTCAGTAGTGCATCCTTGAACCCGGAGATGGATATCTCCAGAATTCAGGCCTTTGCCCAGATTTTAGAGGAGCGGGAGTAGCATTGTCAGCTTGACCAGGATAGAGGCAGTGCACAGAATCAGAGGGTGAGGTCAGATGGAGATTATAGAGAATCCCAAAGTGATAGGGTACCACAGATCTCCAGACGATTAGCCAGCCTAGCCTAGAGGCCAGCATATGACAAGAGGTTGCTAGTGGGATCAAGTCAGAATTCACAAGTGTTAGGACTCCACTCATAGAGAGACCAAAGACGGGCAGGGCCATCCAGAACTTACTGTAGGCAGTGTTGGAAGGCACACTCAGGAGTGTGTCGTTTTGGTACCAATGTATGTTACTGGTGCGGGATTCTTTGCTACAGAATGCTAGATTGTTATTATCGGGTAAGGAGGAATGCTATGATATCATCATCATGAGTAGCATTTCCTCCTACAGAGGATCATCGGAGATTAGAGTCATCGCGCTAAGGATGTAGGTATGTTATTTTTTCTTTTACTAAGTAATGTACGATAACAAATTACAGATTGTTATATATATATATATATATATATAAACGAGACCTTGGGTTACCGAATAAGAATTTTGAGATTTCTACAGGACTGGCGTTAACTTAAGGTGAATCATTAGTAGTTAAGCATGAGATTACGGGCGATTGGCTAAGTTAAGTGTAGATTAGTGTGCCGAAAACGACTATGTTGAACAATTCATCTCGTGAGTATGCACTAGGACCTTATCTTGAGGAAATAGAAAGTACATAACGCCCATATGTTACTAGTCAGTGAAGTAAGGAAGGTAAATTAGAAGTCTTTCCGTCCCTATACGAATAGTTAAGAATTGGATCATCCTATTATCCTCACGTGGGTAGCATAAGATAAATTATGACCAGAAGACTTAGTATTTCTACAGTCAGCTCCTAGAACTTCATAAGGAGGTCTATGATGTAAGAAAGTTAGATGGAGAACCGATAAACGTAGGCATAAAGCGGACAATACGTGATATGGGTTTAGCTTGGTCGTGATAGATACTGTACCGAAATATATACAAAGTTATACGATACACATATTATCGGTTAAAGCATAAATATTAATGTTCTAAATTGTACTTTTCGTTGTTTTGATAGTTTTTCTTTAACCTTTACCATCTTTTCCCCCCACTATACTTGCATTTCCCCCTTTTCTTTGGTTGCCTACTTACTTTTGAGCCTTTCTCCAATTTAAGTTTAGCATTTTTTATTTTCATCTTTCTTTTTCACTATATTATAATACTTTTATTTTCGTATTTGTGAGTAGTTACTTAAAAATATTATAGTCTATGGCTTTATGCATTAATTTACCCAAACAAATTAGACAGAAGTTATCGGACGGAATAAACCAAATGGAAAGAAGAAAAGCAGAATCACTACTACAGTATGCTGCCTCGTAGGGTCTGCAGCGTTTTCAGAACATCCCCTATATCAAATAGAGGTAGCTGTTTGCTTGCTCGGTCCGGACAGCACAATTCCGTTGCTGGAAGAATTCTGTCCCATCGACTAGAAGCTGCAAAATAAAAGATCAAGTATCATCTGCACCCTAAATTTGTTCCATCTAAACACAATAAACGACACCATTATCAAGATATTATCCAATGGTTCCTTGCCCTAAATAAGTATTAAATAAGAGATGATTGGCAGCCGAGCTCGTCAATGTGAATTTAGCTATCAGAATCAGGTAATAATGGATATAAGCCATCAAAAGAAACTTATTATATAATATAGAACCAAATTAGCTTGCCAACGTACTTGAATCGCTGCAATACTTTTACAAACTTTTACGGAAATTCTTTTATATTTTCCAGCTCAATTAATTTGATCCAGGACATAGATGCAAAATAATAATTAATCAAATCACTAACAGTGCAAGCCACATATTCTACAGGTAACTATTCATAACAAGTGAAATTAATAACCTGAAATATCAATTTAAACTACATTGATATTATAAAAAAAAAAAAAATCAATTTAAGGCAGAAAAACGACTTTACCGAAAGTTGGCTCTGCCAAATCCTTTTATATTAGTTAAGACGGAAGGCCTCAAGTCCCACTCAAAGTCGATAATATTTTTATTCTATATACTTGTCTTTAGTTAAACCATCTCAATATTCGATTTGTGCTTATTAAAATAAATGAAACCATGGTCCATGTACAGATTGTTCTATTGAAAATTACAAATCCAATGAACTCATGGGGTGTATCATTATTCAGAAATCATGACTATGTACTTGAACGAGAACCGTGTCTAAATCTCATTCAGACAGCAATATCTCCATACAAGCTATTCTTTTGTTCTTCTGTCTATGTATATACTTGCTAGCCACCTTTATTTTGCCTTTGCAATTAAATATTCTATTTAAATCTTCCCAATTTATATAGCAGTATTTGATTTTTTAAAAAAACTTATGGTCTAAAATAAGTCATAGACATTTATATGGTTAAAATTATCTCATAACGGATTAATGGGAAATTTAAAATATTTAAATAAGAAAGTACATTCTTTATGGGATACTACACATGAAAGTACGACGCATAAGTTGAGACAAAACGAGTAAGGAATAATACAGATAGTATAAAGAATTATATAGTATTAATGCATTATAACATGTTATTACTGACTTTTTATGTTGCCAAATTAAGATTACTACAGAATTTATCTGTTGTTGCCTGTAATCTTGACGTGATGGTAGTACATTGTTACAGCACAGAAATTTAACTCATGAATGATTGACATTAGATGGTTTCTTCCCTAAGAGAGCATATCCTAGTTAATTCGTTGGAGATCATTAAATTAGTCAACAAATTCAATTGACAATATAACGAATATTGAAATTGTCAAGAAAAAATAATGACAATTAAATATATAATGATGAGTATGTTATATAATAATCATTTCATTTGGCACTTGTAACTATAATAAGTGTTTGCTAACAAATTGCAGTTAGAATATTGACAAGTTGAATCCCATAGAGATTTTGATGCACGGGATAACGTAAAGAAAATTAAAGCAAAGTCGAACACTGTGGCCTTTAATAGAATCAAAAAGCTCAAAATAAACAAAGAAGAAGAAAAGGACTTGCCTCCCATAAATGTAACTAGCCAGCTGAAAGGCAACTCCAAGAATCTTTTTAGAAATTAATAATGTTTTACTTTTTGCGAAATTCAATTGGAGAAAACATCGTGGGCATATATAAAAACATGTCAACGACAAGAACTCACGTCTGTTTCTTCATTTTGTTAATTGCAAATAGTCTTTTTTGGCAATGATAAGGAAACCAGACATATTGAATTTAGTATTGTTTCAAAGGTTGATTCTTTCTTCTTCAATTATGAGTAAACTCATACAAGAAATGGTATTTTTAATCTATGATATGAGTTGGCAGAATCTTTGCTTTTGTTTATAAGCCACATTTTGGCTGCTGATCCCAAGTTTAATTAATTTCCTTGACTGAATGAAACTTGTTCAAGTTTAGGTTTAGGAATTTTCTTTTAGTTCCCCAAAAATATGGGAAGACAACCTTGTTGTGAAAAGATAGGACTCAAAAGGGGTCCTTGGACAATTGAAGAAGATCATAAGCTTATGAATTTCATCCTCAACAATGGAATACAATGCTGGCGCCTTGTACCAAAATTAGCAGGTACTTAATATATAGTTTTCCAAGAATCAAGCACTCTTTAATTACTACTTTACTAGTAGTAGTATTTTTTATGCATTTGAAGAAAGCATTTTGTTGTTAATCTCAAATAAGCCTAGTTTAACTAGCAATACTTATGTTATGGTAAACATGAGATTTCACTCGGAAAATGTTAACTAAATTATATATATTAGTTGACCATGATTAAATGATATATTCATGTGACAACATGCATATAGTATTAATCAACCATTTTTATTGATAGAAGTGCATATTATAGACATAGGTCATGTGTTAATTGGTCGGTTTAGACATTGGGTGTGCGGAAGTTTATGTCATTTTCACCCTAATATTCTTGAATAGTAGGGTAGTACAGCTTATGTGCACCCGGTTCTTTCACCCTAATCATGCATTTGTTTGCATGATGTAATATCGAGTGTGAGCAGTTTTTCCCTTTAATTATTTTCATTAAGTTGATAATTTATAGTAGCTATATTCCTTGTAATAAAAATAGTTGATTTTAGTGTAACTTCTTCAACTACTGCTCCGCTCTAGCTACTGCAATCTCTACGGTGGATAACTGACTTGATAGTTTTTTGTTCTTTTTTTTTTTAACTGACTTGATTGTAGATGGTGTTATGTGGTAATGACATATAAAAAAATTGGGTTTTTTTCTGTGGACATTTTGAAAGAAATAATGAAAAATTTAAAAAATTTCATTTAGATGTGCTTAGAATTTGATGGACTTCTATAATGATATTGAAGGGCTAATGAGATGTGGAAAGAGCTGTAGATTAAGGTGGATAAATTATCTAAGGCCAGATCTCAAAAGAGGAGCACTGTCAGAAGCAGAGGAAGACATGATCATCAAGCTTCATTCTCAGCTTGGCAATAGGTATTAACATTGTAATTAACATGTTATAAAATGTTGCACTATTTTCCTAAGTGACTAATAATGAATATTTACCTTTAATTAAAGCGGCCTAATTATAGTGTAAATACTTTTTAATAATAGGTGGTCAAAAATAGCCGCGCATTTTCCAGGGCGTACAGACAATGAAATCAAGAATCACTGGAATACAAGGATCAAGAAGAAGCTAAAGCTCCTCGGCTTAGACCCTTTAACACACAAGCCCATTGAACAACCTGATCATCATAAAAATGACGATATTAAGCAAAATGATTCTTCAGAAAAAGAAGAGATCAATGGGAAGCTGGAATTGCCAGAAACTTTACCTTCAGTAGACTTTCCACAGGAGCAGAAGAATATTCAAAATTCAACATCTAGTTCGAGCTTAGATGAAATGAATGAGAGTAATTTGGAAATGGGGTCAAATGAGTTGTTCCAAAATTCAGACACTTTGGAGACATTTTCCAGCGACATGTATAATCCAGGACTTGAAGATCCTTTCCAGAATTGGATAGGTAGCCCAATTCATTGGAATCTTTTCGACAACTTAGACGATAATTTTCTATGAGGAACAAAAAAATTTATTTAGAATTATTCCCTTGCTTCCGGTTATGTTGGTCGGATCCTCTAAAATTGCGGTTGCATCTATGTCGGGACCTCCAAAATATGTAACTTTTGGAGTATCAGGACGGATGTAGTGGTATTTTAACGATCCGAGCAACGTATGCTCCCACTATTCTTGTAGAGTTGAGTATTAGAAAATCTTTTCCGTTCAACAGTACAATCCAGGCCTGATCAACATTATTATTTCCTTGGTATTTGGACGGATGGTTCTTGTTTGAATAAAAATCTTCATACTGTCACCTAGAATATCTTTACAAGACAAAAAAGTTGGTTGTTAAATAAAGAGTTAACGTCCTAAAATCTCCTTTAACAATAGTATACGGGTAAAACTGGGCTCATGGTATATTCCGGTCTCCGATAAGATAAATCAAGCTCGAGACATGATGACAAGGGACCGGAATCAAGGCAAGGGTCTCATCGAGTCAGAGCCCGGGGGCATGACACCCACCCTCAAGAATATCGGGGTCATGATCCGGGATCGGTCCTAACCCTGAAAGACTTCGGAGAATATTATCAAGCAATGAAGCACAACCAACAGAAGGCCGTAATATCTGCGACCGGCCGGATATCACGGCGTGGATCTCGGCACGTATCGATGAAGAAACGGCAATTAGTTAAACAGAAGATTTTTTTACCTTTTATGGAGTTGTACCTAGAGTAGGACTTCCCTACTATATAAAGGAGGGCCTGATAATTCATTAGACGTATTGTAACACGTATTCAAAAGCAATATACTACTATTTTTACTGTTATCAAAAGCTCCTTTTCTTGTTCATCAATATTGGCCAATGTGAGCCCGGATCGAGGGTGAACGTTACACTAAGGCTGGAATCATCCTTCTTGCGTGGTTTGGATTTACTATACCTTTATTTGTTCATTCTAACTCAATTTATCATTTTGTATCAAATTAATCCGCGTATCCTTAAAACCACTTACAAATTTAATTATTATTCGATTATAAGAGTAAACCATTTGGCGCCAACCGTGGCGCTAAGGATAATAGTGGCAATTTGATACAAATTTCCATAACGCACCCTACTTTACACTTGTTCTTTGAAGTGCCTATAATTTCAGGTCAAAGTTTGAAATGTCGAACTCCTAGTCTGCCCCTTTAAACGTGGATGCTGGGTCCGGTCACCATGGCGAGAACAATAATATAGCACCCGGTAACGAGGTGCCCCCTGTCGATCTCAACAGAGTTCCAGCCGCAGACCCGATCGATGCAAGCTCGCATGTGGCCATCAATGCGAATTTGCCTACCGATCCTGAGAACAGCATCCGCAAGGAAGTCCGGTCGATTGCCCAAAATACGCACGGCAATGATGGTGATGGTATCAACTTGTGGGTGATCTTCGAAATGCTACAGGCTCAACAAGCAGCGATAGCCCAGCTGCAGAACCAAATCCGCGCCCCAAGCAGAATTGAGCCCGACGGGAAGCCACCCGCAGAAACAAACCGGTCACGGAGAGGCCGAATGAAGCTGTACTGGGGACTGACCTCGAGATCATAAAGATGCTCAAGGAGCTGACAAAATGGGTAGAATCGGGAGAAAAGAAAATCGAAGCCAATGACAAAAAGGTGGAAACCTACAATTCCAGGGTCGACCAAATCCTAGGAGCACCACTGATATTAAAGGGCCTGGATTCCAAGAAGTTTATTCAAAAACCTTTTTCTCCGAGCGCAGCTCTGAAGCCAATCCCTAAGAAATTCCGCATGCCTGAGATTCCTAAGTACAATGGAAAAACTGACCCAAATGAGCATGTGACCTCCTACACGTGCGCCATCAAAGGGAACGACTTGGAGGATGATGAGATCGAGTCTGTCCTGCAAAAGTTCGGGAAAACTCTGTCAAAGGGAGCGATGATATGGTATCACAACCTACCCCGTAATTCTATTGACTCGTTTGCTATGCTTGCAGACTCCTTTTGTAAAAGAATACGCCGGGGCCATCAAGGTCGAGACCAGGAAGTCAGATATTTTCAAAGTGAAACAGAGAGATAATGAGATGCTTAGGGAATTCGTGTCCCGATTTCAAATGGAACGGATGGACCAGCCTCCGGTCGCGGACGATTGGGCCGTTCAGGCCTTCACCCAAGGACTCAATGTTCGAAGCTCGTAGGCTTCACAGCAGTTGAAGCAAAATCAATAGAATATTCGATTATTACTTAGGCCGACGTACATAACCGGTATCAATCAAAATTAGGGTCGAAGATGATCATCTTAGGGCCCTTTCTGGGTCTATTTATCCTGTCAGAGCTGTTGACAGAGTCAAGAGATACATTGATCGTGAACCAAGATCAAACAAGGACCGGTATCAGCCATACAATGGAGACCGAAGAGGTAATGGGTCTGGGCGGAACCCCGTGAGAAGTGGAAGGAGAAGCGATCGAGGTCAAAATAACCGGGGACTCATGAGCAAAAACAGTTTCGACAGGCATGTCGGTCCTAAAGAAGCGCCGAGGTTATCAGAGTACAACTTCAACGTCGATGTTGCTGCCATCGTATCTGCCATCGGTAGCATCAAAGACACCAAGTGGCCTTGACCTCTACAGTTCGATCCAGCCCAAAGGGATCCCAACCTAATGTGTAAATATCATGGCACTCACGGTCACAGAACAGAAGATTACTGACAATTTAGAGAGGAGGTCGCCCGATTATTCAACAATGAAAATCTCCGAGAGTTCCTGAGCGATCTAGCCAAAAACCATTTCAGGAATAGGTACTCTAGTAAGCAGATCGAGCAGGAGGAACCTCAGCTATTAACATGATCATCGGCTGGGTCGACATCCCCCAGGGGTCGTTGCTAGAAGGAACCTTGTCTTTCAGTGACGAGGACACTGAAGGTATCGTGCAATCCCACAATGATGCACTGGTAATATCTGTACTCATAAATAAATCTCGAGTTAAGTGTGTGTTAATTGATCCAGGTAGCTTGGCCAATATCATCAGATCGAGGGTCGTGGAACAGCTAGGTCTACAAGACCAAATCGTGCCTGCAGTCCGAGATCTGAACGGATTCAACATGGCATGTGAGACCACTAAAAGGGAGATAACATTACCGGTGAAAACCGCCGGAACCATTCAGGAAGCCAAATTCTATGTCATCGAAGGAGATATGAGGTACCATGCACTATTCGGGAGGCCATGGATTTACAACATGAGGGCAGTTCCCTTGACACTACACCAGGTGTTGAAATTCCCAATGCCCGGGGGATTAAAACAATTTACGGAGAATAGCCGCCCACAAAAGAGATGTTCGCGGTCGAAGAGGTGGCCCCAATACTCGTGCTTTCAACACCAAAGGATCTGGGTTCGGTCACCAAGAAAGAAACCAAATAGCAATTACCGACACCGGCCCCGACCTAACCAGAGAAGCAGGGGACGGGTGAGGACGACGTCTACGGAGTTCCTAGGTCTTTCATAGTCCCAGATGATTCCGGCGCCACCAAATCAACAGTTGAAGAGCTAGAGCAAGTCATATTGATCGATCACTTGCCCGATCATAAGGTATACCTAGAAACGGGGTTAAATCCCGAGCTTAGGAAAAAACTCATTAAATTCCTTATAGCTAACATAGATTGTTTCGCTTGGTCCCACCTTGATATGACAGGGATCCAGCCGAAAAAAATCACTCACAAGCTGAGGCTGGACCCGAAGTTCTACCCGGTCAAACAGAAAAGAAGGCCTCAGTCCGAAGTCAAGCATGCATTCATCAAAGACGAGGTATATAAACTCCTTAAAATGGGGTCCATTCGGGAGGTTAAGTACCTGGATTGGTTAGCGAACATAGTGGTAGTCCCAAAAAATGGAATAAATTAAGAATGTGTGTAGACTATAAAGACTTGAATAAGTCATTTCCTAAGGACTCTTTCCCATTGCCCAACATCGATCGTATGATCGATGCGACGGTCGGCCACGAGATCCTCAATTTTCTCGATGCCTATTCCTGGTACAACCAAATTTGGATGGACCCAGGCGATTGGGAAAAAATGTCCTTCATTACCAAGTACGGCAGCTACTGCTATAACGTAATGCCATTCGGACTAAAAAACGCGAGTGTCACTTACCAACGCCTAGTAAATCGGATGTTCGAAGAGAAAATAGGAAAATCATTACATCGACGATATGTTGGTTAAGTCCTTGCTACATTTGCAGGAAACCTTCAACACATTGAAGAAATATAATATGAAGCTAAACCCGCAAAAATGCGCATTCGGAGTTGGGTCCGGGAAATTCCTCGGGTTCATGGTGTCCAACCGGGGAATCAAGATTAATCCCGATAAGATAAAGGCCATCGAGGACATCACATTTGTGGACAATTTCAAGGTCGTTCAAAGGTTAACCGGGCGCATAACTGCTTTGGGTGATTTATCTCGAGGTCTCCGACAAGAGCCATTAGGTCTTCTCACTGTTGAAGAAGAAGAATAATTTCTCATGGACCCCGGAGTGCCAACAAGCCTTGGAGGAACTCAAGCGGTACCTCTGGAGTCCACCTTTGCTTCATACTCCGAAGGCAGATGAACAACTATACCTGTACTTAGCGGTGTCTAAGGTAGCGGTAAGTGGAGTCCTAGTCCGGGAAGAGGAAGGTACGCAATTTCCTATCTATTATGTTAGCAGATCTATAAGCGAGGCCGAAACTAGGTATCCTTATATAGAAAAATTGGTGCTCGCTTTGCTAAGCGCCTCTAGGAAGCTAAAACCGTATTTTCAATGCCATCCCATATGTGTTGTTACTACTTACCCATTAATAAATATAATGCATAAACCCGAGCTCTCAGGACGATTGGCCAAAGACGGGAATTTGTGAAAGCGGGCTTATTTCCCAATGTCTTAAAAAAAAGGCAGGAACTTATTAGCACAGATGACTTGCTTGCATACCTTCTCCGAGATATGGAAAGGGGGTTCAGATACAGGCTGGCATTTATTGTGAAGTGGATGTGGATTCGAACCACACAAGGATTTTCAGTCCAGCTGAGCTACCTGAACCACTTGAAATAAGTCTCCTTTCTTTATGTAATTTGGCCCACCCCGGGATTCTAACGATGACTGAAGCCTCTATTTTGAGGGGCCGTTGAAATCAGTGGGTACGATATTGAATATCAACCCTGAACCGCTATCAAATCTCAAATTTTGGCGGACTTCATGGCCGACTTCATGCCGACCCTAATCCTGAGGTCGAGAAGGAGTTATTATTGAACTCGGGGACTTCCTCGGGAATATAGACCCTCTATACGGATGGCGCCTCTAACGCAAAGGGGTCCGGACTAGGAATTGTATTGAAGCCACCAACAGGTAACGTAGTTAGACAATCTATTAGGACTGTAAATGACCAACAACAAGGCCGAGTATGAGGCCATGATTGCAGGTCTCGATTTGGCTAAAAGCCTGGGGGCCGAGGTTATGAAGCTAAGTGTGACTCCCTCCTTGTGGTGAACCAAGTCAATGGAACGTTCGAAGTTAGAGAGAAACGAATGCAAAGATACCTGGATTAATTGCAGGTAATGCTACATCAGTTCAAGGAGTAGACTCTACAGCATGTTTCTCGAGATCAGAACAGCAAAGCCGATGCTCTTGCTAATTTGGGATCGTCGGTCGATGACGATGAATTTGACTCAGGAACGGTCGTACAACTCATGAAATTGGTAGTGGAAGAAGGCCACGCCGAGATAAACTCAACGAGCTTAACCTGGGACTGGAGAAACAAATATATAGATTACCTGAAGACCGGAAAACTGACC